GGATAGGTTTGGTTATGTGACAGTATGGGCTCATAACAATCACTACGGTCATCCATTATGGAACACCTGCTGGGGGCCAGTCACAGTATGCTTTATGTATGTCAGCTCATTTTATAAAGTTCAGAGATGAGCCTAAGGGAGAAACTGAGGTTCAGAGATACCAAGATTACACAACCAGAAAGTGGCAAAGTAGGCATTCAAGTCCAGGTCTGCTTGACTCCATAGCCCCTTCAATCTCTCCCCACTACCTCAATCATTATCCAGCTTCCACAAACAGCACTGCTACCTCAGGTCCCCCTCCACTTGGTCACTGAGTAAAATGGAATCGCCTAATACGACAGTCAACAATAGAATCCTATGTCATGTTCACATTGAGCAAAGTACTACGCAAGGTCCCTAGTCTTAAGGAGCTTAAAATACAATGGAGCAGGGGCTATATGCAAAATAAGTTAAATACAGCCAATAGATTTCCTCCGTGTCAGAAACAGCCAGTTTGAAAACATAATGGAAAACAAATTCCATTAACAGGAGCACCTAAAATACCCCAGAATAAACATTTTAAAATTTGTCAAGCCTTTATGAAGAAATTTATAGAGCTTTTATAGGAAGATACAATATACAATAAATAGAAAGTCAACTTCTGTTCCTGGCTGAGAAGACTCAATATGGCAAATATATTAATTCTCTCCAATTTGTTAAATTTAAGGCAATTTGAACTACAGTTATTGACTCATTGTGATATCAGCACAGAAACAGGCATATAAATCAACTCTAAAATCCAATTAACAATGTATATGGGGGATTAGTCTATGGTAAAAGTGGCATTTCAAACTAGTGGGGAAAGGAGTCAATAAGTGGATGAAACAATTGGCTGTATATTTGGGGAAACACAAATTCCTACCTCTCAAGAGACATAAAAACAAATTCCAGGTGGATTAAAGACTTAAACATTAAAACAAGCAAAAATAATAGAAGAAAAATAAGGCAATATTTTTATATAGAGACAGGAAAGGAAGCCTTGGCCAACATGCCACCAAGGTCCAACATCATCATAGAAAATACTAATATGTTTGACTAAATAAGAAACAAAAATGTCTGCAGAAGAACAGACACCAAAAAGAAAAAGAAAATGGCAAACTTCAGAGGAAAGTATTTGAAATACATGACAGTCAAAGAAAAAAAAAGTATTACTATTTTAAAAGCAAAAAAGTTCAGAAAAACGTATTCATTCATGTTAAATATAAATGTATAAAAAGAAAAGACAAATATAAATTAGATTGTTGCAGTGGTTATTTTTACGGGATGGCAAAAATAAAGAGACTTTTACTGCTGTATTGTTTGAATTTCTACAGTGATCACATGCTGTATGGAAAAGAACTATAGAAATATTTACATTTTGAGGAACAACAATGAGTAAAAGAATAGTCCTTTACAGAAGAATTTCAATACTTAGTAAGAAGCATCTTGAATTAATCAGTGCTTGAAAGACTCTAGCTTGTGTAGTATTTGCAAACTCTCTAGTAACGTAAGAAATTCAATGATTCAAAATTAGTGAATTTTCCTTCTGAGTAGCTAATCTCTAAAACGCAACAACAGATTTGCTGGTCTATGAAAGTAGTCTTGAGGTCTAAAAGCTTGTTTTAAAAGAAATGGACAATAGTGAAATGTCCCATTTCTCCTTCCCAGGGGTCCATCTTCTCACCACTCTTTCTGCCCCATCCTCAAGATTTTGCCAAACTATCAAAGGAAAGATGGAAATACTTGTTCTGTTTTATATTACCTGTTGTGGTTTTTATTCTCAGCTATTACTTTTGCATAAAAAAAAAAGAAAACAAAGAGGAGGAGGAGGAAGAGCAGGAAAAGATTCTCAGCCCTTAAAGTTTCAAAACAGATTTTGTTAACTCCTGGAAAAGAAAGTCTTCAGAAAGAAAAGGTGTGGGACAGCAGATGTCAACCTTAATGCCGCAGTTTGGGAAGAATGCCTGAGGGGTGGACAGCTGCCCACCTGGAGTCTCCCCTGGCTGCAGGAGGGTAGAGAGGCAGAGAAGGAAGCAATTCAATCAGCCACAGAGCCCCGGCTGGGAGGTGGGGGTGATGGAGGGTGGTGATGGGAAGACTCCCAGCTGACCAGAGATCTACGGGCTTGCTTCTAAGGTGAGATAAGGTCCACGAGCTGCTCCTCACATGACAAGAGAGTGACAGTATGACGGGAGGGGTGGTAGCATGGTGTGTTGGCCAGAGTCTTGATGTTACCCCAAAAGGTAAAGACCTAGTTCTTGTCATACCGAAAGATGTTTATAGACAGAAGACGGTGCATTGTGTAGAGAAACATTTTTAAAGATTTACTTAGAAAAGGAAATGTACTCCTCCGAGAACGGGAGGTAGGCTAATCCAAGAGAGAAAAAGCGGTGGCTTTTGTCTCCCCTTTTTCTTATACCCTCACTTAGAGGTGGTCTTTTGATTGATTGACGGCTCTTGTCCCTAGAGTGCTTAGTCATGTTTGGCCCCTTTTGCGCATGTCCTTACCCATGGTGTACACAGAAAAACCCACAGAGGGCGCACTGAAACCCTAACGTTAATTATAACACAATGAACATTGGGTTATGTTTGGTTAAGTCCTTTCTGCTGTCAGGTTCTAACCAGTTTCTTGCTGACACTCATTTAGAAGTAAAGTCCCTTCAGGCAGGCATACCGCCATCCGGACCATCCTCCCTCTCCTCCACCTATCTGCCTGGCGCCCCCACTTACCTAACTACCTAACACTGAGACAGCCTCCTGAGCCCCCCAAAGCCTCAGAATGGCATTAGGGGGCAGCAGAAAGTTTCCCTCACCCCTAAGAAAGCCACAAAAGTGGCTGAGAGAAGCCTGAAACTGCCTTATACTGAATCGCAACACGTCTCCCACAAGTCACACACGCACCGTATGTCTGACTAGAGCTGCGGAGACGTTGGAGGTGACAGTGGCCTTAGAGAACATCTAATACAAATGATACTTACCCGGGCTGTGGACCAGGCCATTGAGCCCCACACCTGAGTGAACACAGACCCATTTGAAATGTTTGTAAAAAATGCAGATGATCAGGACCCACTCCCAAGGGGGAAAAAAAGTGGCTGAGAGAGAATCAGAGTGCCTGAAGGGACCTTGAGGTTCCAAGGGGAGTATGTGAACTGACCAGAGACAGACAGAAAACAAACATTAGCAGCAATGCCACCTTAGAGAGATGGTCAGGAACCAGGAGACCTCACCTCCACCAAGTTCCTCACACACACAGATGGCACCCTATGTAGAAAGAAGGGAAAGGGGAAATTCTGAGTTTATTGAGGAAACCTGGTATTGACTAGATAAAGCTCAGATATCAGTAAAATGAGGCTCACAAGAAAGAGTTGTGTTATAAATTACGTTGTTCGTTGCTGTAGGCCAGAGTCTGTGGCTTGTGCAAAGCTAACCCACCACACCTGCTTCACAGGATTGTTTTAATGTGACAAGGTGAGACCAAGATGGGGAAGGTCCTAAATATACCGCTCCAATTACCAGATGCTTGTTGTCGTTACTACAGTTCACGATTTCATTGTCCAGTCGCAAGGAGCAAAGCAATGTGGCCAAGTTTACTGAGCTTATTTTTACTATAACCAAGAATATACGAATGCATTACCTCAGAATTAACATGTCATTTTCCCACATATAAGTAATGTGACCAGTGCTTGTAATTCAGTCATCCCACGAGTAACACAAGACATTTTCTCTAAGATGATAAGATACATTAAGACTTCCTTCATACAAAAGGATAAATGATTCAACAAGGCATTCTCAAGACTACAATCCAGATCTGTTTTGCTCCTTGCTTGTCAAACCCAATTTAACTGCACTGGGTTAAAACAAATTCAATCGACTACCTGTCTTCACCTCCTGCCAGGGACCCCAGGAGGACATCAATTGTTTTTCCTTCAAAGTTATATATACCATTGGGAGCAAGAAACTAATCCTCACTAATGTATTTATCACAATAAAGATTGCATATCTACAATATTTTGCATAATTACTTAATTTAAATTTGACTACTATCCCCATTTTATAGATTAGCAAAAACAGAGTCTCAGAAACGTTAAGTTAGGATAAAGCCACAGAGTAAATGGCAATGCCTATATTTTGAATCAAGTGTCTGGTTTCTTTCCATTCTACCACATCGCCTTGCTAATGAAAACATATAAGCTTATCTGAAGCTTATACTTTAAAAAATTCTTGCCAAGAAACTCAAGGTCTAGGATAACAAGTCATCTACCACTCCCATCACCCACCCACTCTACCACACACCTTTCCTCTGCCACACTCCGTCCCCTAAGCCCACTGGCCTTCTTTCAAGCCTTCACAGAGCTGTTTCCTCTGCTTAGACAGTCCTATCTTTCCTCCCCACTTAAGAGAGTTCAACCCATTCTCTACAACGGACAGTGACTTTGAAAGTTTTGCTCCCTCTCCCAAGAAGTAGCTGCGTACACTCGGATTTGTACGGTTAGTTCAGCTTTCCATCACAGCGCGCACTTATCACTTGAGAGTGGCGTTTGTCTGCATGTGCCCCGGTGACCACTACTAGAATATGACCTCCTCAAGTCAAGGTCCGGGGCTGCCTACCTCCTGGCTTACCTGTTGGTCTCTCAGCGCATAGTCGGAGTTCAACAGATGCTCGTTGAGTTAACAAATGAATTTTATTTTAAATCAAGGTCTATATTTTACATGACCTAGACTGTGAATGAATCATATGTAGGTAAGCACTGTGGAGTAAACTGCTCTTAAATGATTTTAACGATGACCACGTAGAAAGGCTTCACTCACCTAAACCCAGTTTTTCCAGAAACCTCGCTCAGAGTTCAGCATAGGTTCGATACAGACTCAGCCCAGACCAGAGATGGCCCCACCTCCCTGCCTGCCAATCAATCGCCCCTCACGCCTGCGCAGACACCGTCCTCTCCCGGAGCCCTGCCCCAGTCACCCGCCCCGAGGCTGTTGCGGGCGGTTAGGTCTGGCGGGAGCCTTTCCTTCACTGGCCCGCCTACTATGACGATCACCTACAGCTGCATTGCAAATGGCCGAGCGGTCCTAGCCGAGCTGGCCCTAACCGGCGGCTCTTATCAGGTACCCCTGGGTCGCCACCTCGGCCATCACGGGTTCCACTTTTCGAGGGTGGTACCCACCGACCTGCCCCTCAGGACGCCGCGCTAAGGAGCTGCCGGGAATCGGTTGTTGAGGGGTGAGGCCCCGCCTCCGCGAACGGCCTCTCCCTCGAGAGGCCACGCCCCCGCGCGGCCTAGCCTGCGAGATGGTGAATCCCTGGCGGGAGCCCCTCGCGCTCCCAGACGGCAGAGCCGCAAGTGCGCCGCCCAGGGGCTAGGGTTGGTGTTGCACGCGACCTACTTGGCTGTGATTTGCAGTCACGTTTGATTCCGGAGACCCTTAAAAATATTCTCTCCCCCGAGAGAAAATGAGAAACTGAAGAATGGTCAGCAGTTCAACCCACATTTATTGAGCATGTGTTAGTCGCAAAATCCCAGGGTAAAGGTGTGGGGGATGAAACGATGAAGAGAAAACGGTGCCTGGAGTTGTCCTTTGATAAGCACGTTGTCCCTTTATACTCAGGGGCTACGTTCAGTCGTCCTACAGTGTAAAAGTATTTCGGTGGAAGTAGATCGAGATTACTCCCGTAGCACTCGGGATGGGTGACTGCTTGCCAGCCACAGAGGAAATGATGCTCCTGTGCAGCAGCATTACAGGCGTTAGCCCTAGCCTGGCACAGGAAAGGGGGGTGGAGACCCCATGCGGAGGGATCAGTGTGGTGTGTTTGCGGAACCTCAAGAACCTCAGTGGAGCTAGATAGAGCACAGGTTCCCAGTATACAGGGGCTAAAGAAGAGGTCAGAAAAGTGGACAAAGAATAGTTAATAAAAAGTCCTATATTCAGTTTGGTTTTTTTATCCTAAAGATTTATAAATAGAAGAATAGCAAGATCTGATTCATCTCCTGGAAAATTTGATCTGGTTACAATGTGCAAGGTGGATTGGAGGGAAGAGAAACAGGATGGTATTCTTACTGGCTACCCAGAAGATCTAAGGGCCTGAGCTAGGGCAATAACCTGCAGAAGAAAAGAAGGGGGCAGATCCTAAACATACTTTGTAAAACTAATCCTCATAGAGTTAATGACTGTCTGAATATGCGGGAGAAGGGACAGGGCCATGACTAGGATGATTCTCAACTTTTAAAATATTTTTCCCCAGCTTTATTGAGATAAAATTGACAGAACATTGTGTAAGTTTAAGGTGTATAATGTGAAGATTTGTCGATTTTTTTCTTAGGTGCATCAAACAATAGAAACGACAGATGGAGGGGCAGAATTGTGGGGAAAGGTGTCAGAGGGAATGCAGAGGAGGAGAGTACAACCTGGGACAGGTTGAATTCTCTTGCGGGTTGGAAATAGCCAATCTATTTGTGTATTTATTCCTCCATCTTATTCCCAAAAGATTTAAGTCATAAAAATATCCAATAGGGTCAGGGTGAACAGTTAAAGATAGTTGAAGTAGATAAGATTGCCCAAGAAGGACTGTGAGTTCAATGAACACCTTGTAGATCTTGTTAAACTTCTCTGGAGCATAAGACATTCTTGTAATTTTCTTCTCTTGGTTTTCAGAATACCATTCCTCTCATTCGGTGGCCCACCTCTGTATTCTGTTCTAAAACAGTGTTCTGCTTTTTGGCGCTCTGCTATTCTGACTCTCTATACTTTTCTTGAGCAATCTTATCCTTCAATTTTCTGTCTCCCTTCATAATTATGAAATGTTTATTGAGAACCTACTATGGCATCGTCCACTGTACAAAGATTAAAACAGTCCCTGTCTTAAAGGAGTTTGTAAGCCCAGTGGCCTCTCTTTATGAAGCATGCAGGGAAGTAAGAAAGTGGAAGGCGATGGAGCAGTATGCAGTCAGAGGAAAGGATTAAAGGTTTGGGATGACTGCTCTGTGGAAGGCTGACCAGAGAGGAGAAAAAGGATGACAAAGAGCTTCAAGGGACATGCCTTTCCTTGGTGCTAAATATTAATGTCACAAATATTTTATACTTATTAGACAATATTAGTACCTACCAAAGCTTAATCATGAAATCAAATCATGATGGAGCTGGACAGGATCCTAGAGATCATCTTGCCCAGTCCCTTCATTTTTCACACAAGGAAACAGACCCAGATAAGTCACCTTCTCAAGCTGTGCAGCACATCAACTCTAGAAACAGTACCGCAGCCCAAGCTGTCACTCATTTTACTGCCTCACGTTGCCATTTGCTTCGTTTCTCATTTTTCTATGATTTCATTGTTTATATACTCTGACAGAGACACCTGGAGAAAGGTAGGGGAATATGATCCAGTGAAGAGAATAGAGTAATTGAAAGATTATAGATTCCCTTAATGTTTCTTAGGAAATCCTTTTCTAGAGAATACTGCCTGGATTTTTCAGGCAATACCAATAATTTCAAGTTTTACTCTTTACCATTAGTAATAAGCCTTACTCTCCCAAAAAGTTTTCATTTCCAGTATCATTTTATAAAAATGGAAAAGTTAATCAGGAGTGCGGCTACTCAAGTCTTCTTAGGTTACTTTCACATCCCTTTCACATGTGTAAAGTCAATTTATGGGATTCCGTACAATCAACTGTACTTAAGGTATCTGGATAATCGCAGTACCTTGCAAAATTTCCCCCAAAGAATAAGCCTTATAAGAAACAGGCATGAGAGATCTTAGTAATTATTTGTTTTTTAGAAAAAAAATCAGTGAATAATAATGAATAAAATTTTTTATCTTAATCAAAAAAGAAGAGAAAGAAGACTGCTTAAGTTATTCGCAGACTAAAAGCTGAATACTTTTAATCCATTAACATTTTATATGTAGCTTCATAGAGGTCACTGAAAAGATACTTGATTAGATAATACTTCACAGCCTTGAAACCATATATAATAATGTGTTGTAAAAATAAGACTAATTAGTGCAACTTATATTTGCATACTTATGTGTATGTACAAAGTATATGTATACTTATGTAATTTTATTATTTTCCTTCAGATTCATATGAATATTTCATGATAACTTGCCTCTTACCATGCATTAAGAATAACCACCCATTTGTCCTCCTAGTAAACAGTTGTTCCTTAATAAACTAAACAGAACATTGGTAAATTAAGGAGATGAATAATGAAAGACACTACAGCCTTCTGCAAAGTAAATGCTGACAATTTATTTTTAGGAAGCAGCTGCAACAGTGCTTAAACTAGTGCTTCTTAGAGCTGAACCAAAGACCATAATTCATATGGGAAGGTATGGTATACTCTAATAAAAGCCTACTTTTCAATAATTACTAGCTAATAATTCCAATGATAATGACATAGGGAAAAAATATTTGTTGCACAGACTCTTGATTGAACCCTCAGAAAGGAGAACTTTTATATGTAAAAGTATAAAATGATGAATGGGAATGATGAACCCTAAATTCAAAATAGTAGTTCCCTCTGCAAAGAGAAGGGAGAAGAAGTTGTGGGGACATTAATTGTCTCTGTAACATTTTGACTGGATGGTAGGTCTACAACTGTTCTTGTTATCTTATTCTCCATACTTTGTTGGCATACCCAAAATATTTCATTAATAAAAAAGGAGACTTCCACTTGAAAATATCTGTAATAAGATCATTAAGATTTACTTGGGACATTGCATGGTATGGCCTAAACCAGTCTTAAAAACCTTTTGCTAGTAAAAGAACAGGTGAGGAATAAGAAAGCTTCTATAATTTTTAGACTCATCATTTTTTTTAAGAGGAGGTTTGTTTTAACCTTTATATTGTAAAATAAAACAAAACAGAAAAACCTCATCAAGCAAATGTATAGTTTCATGAAGTTTTTCGAAGAACCCCACTACCAACCAACTGCAACTATCACCTAAGTCAGAAAATGGAGTACTGCCAGCTCCCCCCAAAACTCCCCACCATGTAGTCTGTCCTGCTCACAGTTGCCTCCCTCCCCCTCAAATCAACCATCATTCCAACTTCTGTTGCAGTCATTTATCCTGTTTATTGCCTCAGTACCTAAATATGCATCCTCAGACACAAGAGCCCAATCCTGCCCATTTTTGAAATTGATGTTTTCTAAGTCTCTTTAACCCACATATTTCCCCTCCTTCCCTTTCTTTTCCTTACAATTTATTGTTGAAGAATCTGTAGAGCTTCCCACATTCTGGTTTTGCTGATTGCATATTCAAAGTACAATTCACCATGTTCCAAGCAGCTGGATCCGGTGGCATGATCCCTTTGGCAAGACTACAGGTGTTTTTTCATCAGATGGTACATAACGTCTGCGTATGTCTCCTTTTGGCATGCTAGCAGCCATTGACGTTCACTGCCTACATCCTAGAGCCATTAATTTACTGGGGGGTTGCAAAATGGTGACATCTAATTTTATTTTCACTTATTAGCTGAAATGATTTTTTTTTAAAAAAAGATACTATCCTCCTCTACTATTTGCTTAACCTACAGTGGACATTCTAATTTGAGTCTTTTGAGGATCTCTTCCCTGAACTCCAGACTTGTATATCCAACTGCTTCTTCTACGTCTCTGTTGGATATCTAATGGGCATCTCAAACTTAGTTCCAAAACCAAACCTCCCCCTACAGCCTTCCACATGTTACCTTTCCAGTGCCTCAGGCCAAAAGGCCTTCACTTTTAGAGAGTTTTTATTTAACGTAATTTACTTTGATTTTTCAAATGTATGATAGATTCTCTAATTATTCTGATTATAAAAAGTTATCTACATAGTTTTTACACTGTTAGTGAGAGCTTGAAAATGAAATTAAATTCTCTGTGTCATTGCTTAATTTCTTTAATGTTATGTAAATGAATGTATTCTTTTCAAAGCTTTGTCTACCATACTCTGTTTATTGATGGAATCACTTACCTATGTGCTTCAGACAATACCTTGGATACCATAACACCATCTGCATTTCTTAAAAATGTAAGTAATTTCTTGTACTACTTTAAGGACTTCTTCAGTTACTGAAATTATTAGGTGTCT